ACAACTCTGTGAGGTAGTTAGTGAAGATATTACTCCCATTCTATAGCTGAAGAATCTTAGGCTTGAGAGACTAAGTGGCTTGACCCCAAAGTCTCCCAGCTAAGAAAGTGTGGAGCCAAGTATCCAGGTTTCTTGACTCCAAATCCAGTGCTCTTCCCCCTATATATTCTATAATTGTCAGGCAATTGAATGAATTGCCCATGATCATATACCTGCTAAGTGTTGGTGATGGGATTAGGAGTCATTCTCCAAATTTGTAGTATGGTGCTCTTCCACCATACCAACTAGCAGAGCCAACATGCTCAGAATAACTACCACAGAAAGTATCAGAGAAAAGTCTAATCTCCTTTAAGTCAACAATGCTTTGCCTAACTGGGTTAACTGCTGGTCTTCCTAGAACAATATTCAAGTCATGTTATAAATGTAAATCTTGGAACTCCTCATCCATCTACTGAATGTTCAATCACTACTATTAGAGGCATTTAGGAAAGAGGTAAACTGAGTCGAGCTTACTTATGCCCTTAAGCAAATCAAACTTTTAATTTCCAACTTCCTTCCTCATTTCTCTGCCCTTACACTTTATTAAACTCCTAAAACACAAAACAAATCTTATCTGATTTAGAGCTGGGAACAAGGAAACAATGAATACATTTAAAGTCCTGGATCCCTCTCTCTCTCCAGTTTGTAATATTAGGAGCCTGATCATATAATTTTTTATCCAGATGGCTGAGCTTGATGTTCCCAAGCATTTCCAAACCTTATTTTTTTTTAAACATGTGTCTCCATCATTTACCCTTGAGGAGGGGATAAGTGGCAAGGATATTTGAAATGAGAAGCCATTAGGGAAACTGCTGCTGGAAGATAGCACTATACCATTTCCTGTTAGTCCTCTGCTTATTAAAGTGAAGATAGCTATCTATCTTTGTGTCAATCATGGAAGAAGGAAGTTTCAGGATCAGAACTTAGAACCCAGCTCCAGAAATACCCCACAGAACTTGGGATTCACAACATACCACCTCACTGTCCATTTTTGCTGATGCTACTTGCATAAAAGGCACTCTACCCCCAAATCCAGAAATACACATCACATTATAATAATCCAGAGTTCCTATCCTTCCTTGTCTCTTTCAGAGTACCTATAGGACATCAGCCATTACAAAAGGAAAGATCCGTAAACTCTGTCAGACATTTTAAAGAGCTATCTCACATTTAAAAGCATGCTGATGTTGAACACTGGCTGCAACTTTGAGTATCTGACATGTTCTCATGGCAGTTATTCTGAGCACACTGGTTTCCCTGATGAGGCACCCTACCAGGGGCCACATTTCCCTCAAAGAGAAGCAGCTATTTTTTTGTTTATTTTTGTTTTGTTTTTGGTCTCATGAGCCAGGCTTCCCTTAGGGAAATTGTTTGAGAAGTATAGGCATTGCGATGATTGCTGAGTTTTCAATGCTGATGGGCTTTTATTGTCAGATGAACTGCATGCTCGAAGATGGGTTTGTTGCAGGTGTCCCTGGAGGTTAGTGATGCTCTGTCTAACCCAGGCCCCCAGCAACTTTGAGGGGAGGGAAGGGAAGAGGGACTGGGAGATAGCATCTCCCTTCAATCAGTTGTCCAGATGTAGCCAAATACTTTCATATAGTATTTGGTGATTTTTATATACAATGTTTATATACAATAGGCCCTACACAGATGGGAGGGGCTTATTCATATCCATGAAGATGAAAGAGCGTCCACTTACATACTTTAGGCATATGGAGAGCTTTGATCTAGAATAATGAAATGAGTTCCAGGCTTCTAATATTTATTCCTTAAGAGCTATCTTGTCTACATGCTGTGAAATTTGGTGGTTGGTGACCTAAACCGCAAACTCCAGGGAGTGATTTCACTTTAACCTGGGCCTACAGCAACTCTAAATAGGACAAGGGAAATGGAGCTAGGGAGAGAGCATCTCCCTTCAATCAGTTGTCCAGATGTAGCCAAATACTTACTGAGAAATTTGGCAATACAGAAATATAGACAGACAGACACACACACACACATATGCACACAGATACACACACCCTATTTATTAACATTATGTTCTAGCAAGAGAAAGGAAGGGATTTAATTACGCTGATGTGAATAAAATAGTTTCCATTATGTACTTACTACAGGCAGACAGAGAGATGTAATGTGGACTAATTATATAATTCCTAAACCTCCAGAATTTACCATCTTCCACATGTGCTGTGGTAGGTGTTGGTCACAGGAGTATGTAAGTCCAGGTTAATGACTTTACACTTAACATGGGCCTGAATAAGTCTAAAAGGAGAAAGGAGATGGTTTGGGGAGAAATGATCTCCCTCTAGATGTCTAGACGGTGCCAAACATCTAGACATACTATTTGGCAAAATGCATACACATAAAAACATTATATATATACGAAGCCCCACCAAGATGGATGGTAAGGGGTTAAAAATGCTCATGATTATGAAAGCGCTTCTATTTAACAGGTTTTGGGCAGATGGAAAGATGAAGTCTTAAGTTAATGAAATGATATATAGTCTCTCAAAAAAAATCTCCTGGTGGCTATTTTTTTTTAATATGTGAATATTCATGGAAATGTCTCCTTTCAAGCTACTATAAAAACATTGGTAATGATAAGAAAAACTAATTAGTAATAAATATCTGATTTCATAAACTAATTAGTAATAAATATCTGATTTCATAGGCTAGTATATGTGATCCAAATATTTTACAAGCTAAAAACAATGATGTGATTTATAAAATTCCATTATCTTGCTTTAATACTATCAACAACTATAGCACAGTCACTAACAAATTTTGATTTTTTTCCTTAATTTCTGCTAGGTTTGTCAGGAATTGCTTTAGGCTCCAGTCCACAGCACCTTGGGGCTGCAGGGGACACTTAGTGGGATTCAAGATTTCTTAAGGGTGAAGATAAGAAAGTGAATGCAAAAGAAAGGAAAATAATTACTTAGAGGAGTAGAGTAGAGACTCAGTACTGAAACTTATCTGCAGTAAATCTAGGGACAGAATAAAGAGAGATAACAGGAATGTTCTACTCTTTGGCAACAAGGTAACCAAAACATACTTAAACAAACAAAAAAACCCTGTATACATTTCATCCAGTGGTGTGCTGTTCAAAGTCTTTTAACTAGCAACTTGAGGTAGAGGGGAGAACCTGGCTGTATAACATTTGCTAATTTTCTTGGTATAAATATTTTCACTATTGCCAATTTCAAACTACAACTAGAAGCATGGAATTTCTGAGGTGAAAAGAACTGTATAATAGTACACCATTATAAAGCATTTCTGTTACTTAGAAACAACAGATGTAAATAATTCTCAACAAAGATTATAGTAAAATGTATTTTGGGGAATTAGTTTGTTTTTAATATAATCTATTTAATTTTAAATGCATGTCACTTCATTTTTAACAATGGCTGTATTTTGCCAAACTCTGGAAAATTTAATAACTGGTTAGCCTGTATAAACTGGCTCCAACATACCACACCTAAATGAGTAAGAGGAAAGGGAATTTAGCATGTGTAGTTAAACACCTATTACAGAATTTTTAGGGTTCAAAAAATGTTAACATGCTCTGCTTATTAGTCCCCTCAAGATGTAAAATATCCTCAAGAAAACAAACTGTTTTTGAAGGATGTCAGGTATACAGATATGGGCACTTATAACTACATAGGTAATGGCCCAATTTTTAAAAGATAATATCCTAAACAGTTTCCATGTGCTTTATCACTAACTGGACAAATACATTATTATGTATTAGCTTGTTTTACTAGTATGACTGACTCAATTATTAAACAAATTCCAAACTGGGTCCACCTTCTGCCTGAGTAGGGAAACTCTTTAGCTCCACGTGTTACCAGCATGAGCTGTGTCACCAATAGGAAGACTCCTCCAAATAACAGAGAACAGTGAAGGGAGGAGGAGAGGAGGAAGGGGAGGAGAGATGCCTAAGGCAGTGTCAGAGCACCACAATTACAACCTGGGGCACTAACAGTTATCAAAGGCTTAGAGCTTGAGCCAAAGGCTGCATGTTTCCACAGTTCAGCATTGCACTGTTACACAGCAAGATGAAAAGATTACTGCATACCTCCAGGCAACCGTCTCAGTTATACTTTCACAGGTTTTAGTCTTGAGATGACAAATCTCTGAATAAGTGATAATTCACATTTTTTCTCTTGATGTTTGCAAATGTCTGGATGGATCATGCCATGTAGACAAAAATATTTGTATAATTCACGTCAGTATTCATGGTTCACACTATGATCTTGTTACACTAAAGATAAAACAATTAATGCTGCTCAAAATTTCCCAGAAAATGCAACCATAAGTATATGAAACAACCTTGATTAAGGTATAATTATCAATGTTTTATTTAGGAATTTACTGTTTTAAAAGTCTCCTCTCACTAAAATTTAAAAATTTTCCATCGTATCTGGAAAACTTAAAAGCAGATTTTAAAAAATTATCCCCATAATGGATAATGGAGTGATGTAAAAGATTGAATAGGTTGAATAATTAGTAAAGGTAGGTAGGTTAATTCATCTTGCTAGCTGTGAGTCCAACATGAGGCTATATTCATGGGTTAATAAATATTTTATACTTATTTGCTAATGCTCTATTGACGTATAATGTTGCCTTGCTTTTTTTGAAGATGACACCATTGATCTTCAATCAGCTGGGTCTAGCACACTTAGTAATCTTTTGAAACTAAGGGAGAATTTGTGATAAGTTGGTCACATTTTCTCACCCATGAAAACATTGGCAATGCTAACTTCATTTGTAGTCAGCTGAACACTTCTGATACCTGGAGCCTAACTCAAAGCTGGGCATGTAAACAGAGAGAGGCCTCTATCATAATCACAGTTACAAACACATCGAAATATCAGATTACTTTCAGTGGTTAAAGTCCATCTAAGAAAGCAAGACAACCCAATGAGAAAGTGGTTTGATTGCTGCCACCCACTGGGATCTGCATGAGTCTATGGGTAAGTTGCCATGGGTGCCACAGACAAATAAAATAATCATATATATTAAAAAATCTAAGGTAAATAAGTGGTGCTAAAAAAGAATAGTAGTTAATATTAGTTGTGTGGTTAACGGAAATCAGTAACCTTTAATAAAATGGTCCCGATGGAGAAGGAGGAGAATTTTTATTTGTTTCATTCTGAATGGCTGCCATGGTGAAATTTCGCCTCTTCATGTAGATGTTTACCTTCGGTCTCCTTCAACTCGCTTTTTACGGACTAGGTAAGAGAAAAAGAAAAAAAGGAAAGCTTTTAAGAGACAAACTAAAGGATATTCCTTAAATCCCAAAGATTTAAGGACAACATAATCACACAGATCAGTAATCCTACACATTTGAGGTGACAAGTTATCTTAAACAGCATTATTTAATGACCCATGACAATCAATAGAAATGATATACAAATCCAATGGCTTATGGAATTTACATAGAAATATAGCTACCCGGAAACTTGAATGTTAGAATCTTACCACTTTTAAAGAGTAGGTGTAGAATAGACCCACACAACAGTGAACATCTAATTATTTTCAAGGTCACTTATTCACAGTACATTTTCTCAGTTTCTACGCCACCCAATCACCAGTAGGCTTTAACTCCCCAGGAAGACATAGTTACAATCCACTAAATCTGATAATGGCTTGACCAAGAGGAAGAGGAGCTACAAACAGAAGTTCCAAAGTTTCTAAACTCATTTAAATTAAGAACTATGTATCAACCTCCAAGAAAGGCAAAATTCAGATATAGGAGCAAACTCAGAGATTAAAATGTTACTGTATATCAAAGAAATAGTCAGATTTCCTGTTGCCAGTTTCTGTATCTGTCTCCTGTTTTCCAGATCTCCACCTGCAGGCTCTTCCAGTCCAAAGAAAGGGGCTATTCTAAATTTACTGGATTAGGAAAAAAGTTGCCCCAATGGATCCTACTCAGCCTGCTCCTTTCTAGGCTAAAGAAAATTAAACAAAAGCTCTTGTCCACAGCTGTTGCCTCTCCATTTACTTCATCCCTCTTACTCTGTCTTTCTTTGGCCTCCATCTTGTTCAGCTGTGAATGTCATGTGCTTTTTCCTGGGTACCTTCGACTGCTGTCTCCACCCTCCCCAGAGTCCTATGTGCCTCACCTTTTGCACCCCAAAGGCAATCACTGCCTTATGCCTAGCAGGCCTCTGAAAGACTCACGCTGTACCTTAGCTGGGCCTCAGAATCTTAGTTAACTACTTCTGGCAGGCAACGGGACACTAACTTTTTTTACCTACCCCTTAGTTTAAGCCCTTATTTTTCATCTTGTTACTAACTGAATCTACCCTCTTTCTCCCATGGTCAACACTTTACAAGGAGGAAAAACTTGCCTAGTTTGCCTGCCAAAGTCTGACATTCTGTCCTTGAACTTCAAACTAGGGTTTGGGCCTGGTATTGGCTGACTGCTTGCCAGTGTTCTGAATGTTGGAAGTTCTAAAGTTTCTAAGCTGCTTCAGGTGGCTGGATGTCACTAGACCAAGCCTTCCTAATCTATTCCATTCTTTTATGCTGCAGCTGGCTGGCACATGTCCACCTTATCCTAACAGCAGAAATGTCACAGATCTTCAATAATGAGTAGGCAGCAGGAAAAATTAAAGAGAATTAAAACATTAAAGATCAATCAATTCAATTACTGAATTTTCTACTCTGGGGGGCCATATTCAAAAACAACTGAAAAGGCTACTTCTGAGTTTAACCTTCCTTAGAGCTTAGTTTCTTTCACATGTGATATGACCATATGCATAACCTAAGACCAAAAGCACAGCCAGGAGTCAGTCAGAAGTGAACTGGGCATTTCCATTTCTTTTGTATCCGCTTCTGGTGCAGTTTACAACACAGGATGATCTCCCGTAAGAAGTGTGTAAAGGACTCGCAAATAAGCAAAGGAAATCGGGTAAAAAAATCAAAGGCTGTCCAAACAAATGAACAAAAAAACAAGCAGTTCTTAAAAGAATGCTACAAGGAAACTTAAAAGAGCATGAAGATTCCTGTGGCCATGTAATAATGTGCCTTTGATGAAGGCCTGACTGGAGCTGCAGTGGAATGGTATCTGTGGGATGTTCTATGTGAAGTCAAGAATAGGGAAGGTCATCCTGCTGTTGTAACAGCACAGATTACAGCTGCATTACCCAGGTCGTTATTCTTGGTGATGGCAGCGGCCACCCTTGTTCGTGGTCCTTGCTTGGTAAACTGATATCCAAACTTGAGGATTCTTGAATTCTCCTCCAGCATCTGAGCAATTTCCATCTCTACCGCGGTTCCCAACTGCTGTCTCTGGTTATGAAGGTGAACATAGACACAGGAAGGCAAGAAAGGCAGAGGAAACAGTTACTTGCCTGGCTAGTAAGATATGTGGCAACTTGGACAAAAAAAAAGATGGAGGCAACTGAAAGGGATAAAATCATTTGGGCTATTTTCTCCCTTAAAGTCATTTTCAGATCAGCTCCCTTATTTAAAGTAAAATCCAACAGACAAATGGCCAAACCTGCCAGCATGCTACACTGAAAAGATGAGACAAATTACTGATGATGATTCTGTATGTTACATAAAAGCAAACCTAGTATTTGTTGTTCCAACTTGCTACAATATTTCTGGTTTAACAAAAGGTGATTTTTAATAGTGACCATTGCAGCAATCAACACAATTACTGACTTTTTAATCCTGGGGTCCATATTCAAAAATATTAGAGAGTATCCAGTGAACAGGTCCTTTCCTCCCAGCTGTCTCACTAGGAGACCTCAACAGCCCAACTGGGGTTTGAACCATGATCAGGAAAGCTATAAGAGACTGAAGCGATTGGTGAGCTACAGAAAAATCACCAAGGTTTTAAGTTGGGGGAGATTTTTAGTTTTTAATTGAGACATTAAATAAAAGTAGACTTAAAATGGGGGTGTGCAAATATAAAATTAAATTTAAGGAGGGCCCTCCCCAGTGCCTCAGGGGTTAGAGTTTCACCACTACTAAGCTATCAGCAGCCATTGCAGCCTGAGTTGATCCCCGGCAGGGGGGTGACCCACATGGCACAGCAGACCATTCCTGAATCCACCCACCCCTCTCCGCTCCCCTCGGCAGTGTATGGCAGTAGCTCGGCCTGTTCTGCTTCCCACTCGGTCTTTGTTGAATCACCACTGACCTAAACTTCAGTTCTTCTATGTATATATAAATAAAAACAAATCTTTAAATGATTAAATTTAAGGAATAGAATGATTTTCATAGCAGTTTTATGAAAACAAAAAGTATAGGCTAGCTTAGGAAAAAAACCACTAAAAAAAGTGTATAAAGTTCCCTTCCCCCAGTATTTTCATTTCTTTGCATGGCATATATCTTTTAAATTATTTATATTTTCTATGTTTTCATTTATCTATGTAATTGTATACACATTACATATATCCTTTTTTCACACAACTTATGTTAGTATATTTTTCTTCTTTTTTTCCTGTGATTTTTAAAAAATTATTAATTTATAAATTTATAATTAATTTTTATTATATTAATTATTGTCATTGATTTTTATTATTAATTTTTATTAATTATATTATAAAATATTATTATTTTTGCCTCAGTCTTCATTTTTGTAAAATTTTGTTTTTTTTCACGGCGGATACAGCCCCATGAAATCCCCACCACCATAAAACTCGTCACCATCACCACAGTCCCCTGTGCTCTTCCCTCCCATTTGATCCTACTTCCTTCTTGCCCCTTCAGAACTTCTCTGGTTTATAGCTGCCTATTGATTTTGATTTTGATTTTTACTTTATTATAATTACTTCTTTTTTCTTTATGGATCCTCTCCACTCCTCCGAAAAGTGAAGCCATCATACACACACACACACACACATATGTATATATATGATTAGGCTTATTTCACTTAGCATGATCCTTTCCAGCTCCATCCATGTTGCCACAAATGGTATGAGTTTATCTTTTTTCTAAGACATGTTTTTGTTTTTCATTTAATAGTAACATGCTTACCTCCACCTTATAAGTGGCTGTATAGCATTCCATTGAAGTGATGGGTCACAATTTATTCAGCTAGGCCCGCCTCATTTTCTACTATGCCAAACCAACACTTCAGTGAACTTCCCTTGCCCACAGTACATGCATTGGCATTTCTGCAAGTATGCCTACAGGGCAAATAATGGCTGGGTCAAAGTGTAAACATGTCTCAGATTTTGATAATTTTACTGACTTACCTTCAAAAGTGTGACAATTTGTATTCCTACTAACTGTTCTAGAAATACTGTTTTCTTTATCCAACCATCAGGGCATATTTTCAATCTATTTCACTTCTGTCGATCCAACTGGTCAGCTTTCTATTTTACTTGTAGGGATTTAATGGCTTTAATTTGTCTTTCTTGAATTATAAATAAAAATAAATTATATAATGGACCCTCTCTGGTGGTGCAAAGGGTTAAAGCACAATACTATGAAGTTGTTCTCAACCACTGCAGGGCAAGTTTGATTCCCAGCCAGGGGAGTAACATACAGGGCACAGCAGACCTCTCCTGTCTTGCCGACTGCTCCCCTCAGCAGTGTATTTTGGTGGATCTATCTGATCTGCTCCCCACTCTGTCCCTGGTGAATTCTTTCACCCCTCACACCTCTGACCTGCACGCCAGTTCTCTTAAAAAAAATTATATTATGCACTTGTATATTTTTTTAAATCACCCATCTTTGTCATTTGCCCATTTTTCTACCAGCTTTGGCACCTAATTTTTTCCTTGGTTAAGTTTCTTAAATATTGGGAAATCAGCACTTTATCAAATGTGCTGAAAATACTTTAGCCAGTATGTCTTTTTAGTTTCTTTTTGATTACTCTAAAGACCTTTTTCTTTATGTGATGGTCATATTTATCAAACTCTTAGATTTTGTATTATGTTTAGGAAGCTTCTGATTTATTTGCTTTATGATTTCATAAATATCTTTTGTTATTTATTATTTGAATATTTAAATATTCATTTATAATAGATACCTGACTTAATTTTGCTCCAATATGCTAATATCCCATCATTTTTTACTACATTCTTCCCTCAGTGATTTGAAACACCACTTGGCACAAAATTCTCAAGAATATTTGGTTGTTTATGGAATCTCTTGCTTTCCAAACCTGTTTCTGTACCATTATAATGCAATTGTGATTGCTTTACCATATACAATTAAAATTTTTTTATTTATTTATGCATACAAGAATTGGGGTATAGGGCAGAGGTGTGGGAGTGATGAGAGGATTCCTCAGAGACAGAGTAGGGAGCAGAATGGCAGAACCACTGAAATACATTGCTAAGGGGAGCAGCAGGTGAAATAGGAGAGGTTGTGCCATGTGGGTTAACCCCCTGGTTGGGGATCAAATTCAGGCGATGGTACACCTTTGTGGTGATAGCAAGACTCGCAGATCCCCAAGAGATATTCTTTTTTTTTTTTTTAAGAGTTTATTTATGTATATAGAACTGGGGTACAGGTCAGAGGTGCAGGGGCGGTGAAAGGATTTACCAGAGACAGATTGGGGAACAGAACAGGTGGAATGATGAAGGTCTACTGAGGGGAGAAGCAAGTGGGTCAGGAGAGGTCTGCAACACCATGTGGGTCACCTTCCTGCCTGGAGAGTGAACTCCACTGAAGTGGCTGCAGCCATTTCACAGTGCTGTGCCACCAGGGAGGGCCCTCTAAGAGATAGTCTTTTACTTTTTAAAAGATTTTTTTTTTTTGTATACAAGAACTGGGGTACAGGCCACAGGTGTGTGTGGGGGGGTGGTGGTGAAAGGATTCACCAGAGACAGCATGGTGATAACAGTCAGATCTACTGAAACACACTGCTGAAGGGAGCAGCAGATGAGACAAACCATGTGGGTCCCTGGCTGGGGATTGAATTCATGCTGCAGTGGCTGCGGATAGCTTCATAGTGCTGCATTTAACCTGTTGTGCTACCAGGGAGGGCCCCCAAGAGATCCTCTTAACAGCCTCTTCCACCATCCTACAGTGGAATGCTCATAGAACAAGTCTCCATGTTTTTCCCTTTTTCTGGTCCCCTTTTTCAGGGTCCTTTCTTTAGAGTCTAGACCTTTTAGAGTCACTGAATTCCAAGGAGACACTCCCTTGTAGCCAAAGGGCAGAGCACAGAAACCTGCTGAATTGTTGTTGGCAGGAGCCAGTAAAGCCAGCAGAGCGATAATGAAGGCACTAGAGTCTGGTTCTGGGAAAAGAGGTCTAAAGGGCACAGGAAGAGGTGGTTCCAGAGAAAAGGCTTTGGCTTCTCATGGGAACCAGAAAAATGCTGTGACACAGCTGGGATTGTGATCACGCTGCATGTGACCTCCCCTAAGTCACACCATCTTTTAGAATCTGGAGGCCTTTTGAATAGGCTCTATAGCCTGCACGAGGCTGCAAGAGCCCTGACCTGCTCTTTCGGCTCTGGCAGCCTCCTAGCCTCCTGGGCAGGACCACTGGCCTTCTCCTTGTAGCCATAATCCCTGTGAGAAGCTAGGACAAGGCTGGGAGATTAAGTGAAGATTCCTGCGAAGGGGCAGCAGATGATGGTGATGGAACAAAGTAGCTGTGGACACCTCTGGCCCCACCTTCTTGCTTTCTCCTTTGGTGCCTAGCCTAGGGCTGGGGATAGGTGCTTCTTAACATCTTAGGCCACTCCACAGTACATTGTTTAATAATTAACATGCTCTTTGACACACCCTACACAGAGGCATTAGAATTTGCAGGAAATATCAAACTGAATCACAGAACTCTGTCTTTTCGCAGGCTGCACTGTGATGCCCCTTCACAGGGCTCTGTGAATGAGCTCACCTGGTTGTCAATCTTGATCTCTGTCAAGGTGTCATTTTCTCTCAGTGCCTCTACCAGGGCGAGGATCCCAGCTCCAGTGATGAAATTGGATTCTACATTTAGACTTTTCAGGGTCTTGTTTATTTTCAGCATATCTGCAAAAGCCTTATTATGCAAAAAGAGTTAACCACTAGAGTTATACTTAATTCCCCAATTAAGTATTTTTGACAGTACTTAAAATTTCAGCTAAATCATACTTCACCTCCAAGTAACAAATATAGTAATTTAAAATAGCAATAAAAAAAAGTTTAGTTTAGGCTCTCCCGGTGACACAGCAGGTTAAAGCACAGCACTAAGAAGCTAAAGCCACTTCTGGATGAGTTTGATCCCCACCTGCCCTGGAGGTGATCCACATGGCGTGGCAGACCTCTCCTGACCCGCC